ATGATGTAGTTCTATATCTCCCTTGGCAACATGATCTTTAATGAAATGATGCATAATACAACATGTTTAGTTTGAGAGTGTTGAATTGGATTTTTAGAAATGTAAATGGTATTAATATTGTCACACATAATAAGAATGGTTCCTACATATAATCTAAGATCTAAGATTTATTACTTTAGCCATAAGACTTGAGCAACACAGCTTCATATGACAATGTATTCCACCTTAGCGGTAGATAGGGCCGTTGAATTCTATTTTTACTAGACTAAGTAATTAAAGATTGGCCTATAAATTGACAGATTCATGAGGTGCTTTTTCTATATATCCTTTATCCTATAAATTTAAAGTCTAAAAATCTTATGATTTCAAAGGTTGAGCTATATCTAGAGTATTAGATACCTAGGTTTTGGTTGCCTAATATGTATACAAGGATTCTCTGAATGACAATCATATGAGATTCTTTGGGATAAACCTAAAATCTAGCACAGAGATATATACTAAATATTATATATGGTTTACTACTTATCAAATAAATGAGTGATCTAATTATACCTCTATATTTCTTCTAATCAACTAATTTTATAGTGGGCTCCTTCTAAATGAATAATAGAGCTCATGAGAGTATTTATTATCTTAGCTTTATCTATCTCATATTTTTTAAAGATATCTTTGATATATTTTGATTGATTGAGGAAGATTCGATCATCCCTTTGCTTCACATTAAATCCAAGGAAATATTTAAGCTCTCACAGCATACTCATCTCAAACTCTTCACTCATTATCTTTTAAAATTCATTATATATAATTTTTATTTATAAATATAAACAATATATCAGTAACATAAATCTAAATAATGAGTAAATCTTCTCCTACTTTCTTAAGGAATAAGGTGGTGTCTATACAACCCTTAATAAAAGATCTATCTAGGTGGAATGTGCTCAGTCTCTCAAATCAAGCTCTGGGTACTTACTTTAACCTATATAATGTCTTCTTTAATTTGAATACATGATTGAGAAATTAAGAATTCTCAAAGCACGGGAGTTGCTCAACATATACATCTTGTTTAATCACCCAATTTAGGAAGGCGCTATGAACATCCATCTGATACAACTTAAATCCTTTAAAGCATCAAAGGCTGTTAGCACTCCAATGGATTTTAGTCTAGTTATAGGGGCAATGGTTTCCTCAAAATCAATTAGTTCAATATAATTGTACCCCTTAGCTACTATTCTAGCCTTATTCCTAACTGTTGTGCCAGAGTCATTCATTTTATTTTTGAAAACCCACTTAGTTCCTACAACACTCTGGTCCTTAGGTCTTCTAACCAGTTCACATACATCATTCCTAACCAATTACTTTAATTCTTCTTATACTACTAGGATCTAAAATTTATTAGCTAGTGCTTGATCTATGTTGGTGGGTTCTACCATTGAGATGAATGTTGAATGACTAACCTCCTTTTTAAATCCATGCCTAGTTTTAATACCTTTAGATGGATCTCCTAGGATAAGTTACATAGGGTTACTAGATGAGTATCTCCATTCTCTAGGAAAAGGCTCCTTAGATTCTACTCTATCTCCTATATTAATTGATTATATCCCTTGGGTAATCTCTACTTCTTCCTCTAACCTAGGCTCAGAGGTTTTAACCTATTCATCAAACACGACATGGGTAGACTTTTTTACTACTAAGGTCCACTTATTTAAAATCCTACAAGCTTTACCTATACATGAATATCCTAAGAAGACTCCTTCACCGAATTTGGGATTAAAGTTTCCTAGAGGTGATTTTCAATTAATGAGGATAAAACATCTACAACCAAAGTCATGCAAGTGAGACAGGTTGGGTGTACTACACTTAAGGAGCTCAGAAGATGTCTTATTTAATTTGGATCTAACATTGACCATGTTCAACATATAACAAGCAATATTTACTACTTCTACCTAAAAGTATCTTGGGAAAAATATTCAACTAACATGGCCCTAGCAGCATCTACTAACATCCTATTCTTTCTCATAGCTATTCGATTCTGTTGACGAGTCCTATGGGTAGAAATGTTACACTCTATCCCTATCGCCTGATAGAAAGATCAAACTTATCATTTTCAAACTCTCCACCATAAGCACTATGAATAGTTGATATCTTATATCCCAATTTTCTTTGATACTACTTGAAAGTTCAACAAGGTCTTACAACATCCTCGAAATTTCATGTTTTGCCTAAAAGCTTGGATTTGTATTAATATAACAAGATAAAGTAGTAGCTTATACATCCATACAACTTATGGTGCATGAGAGAAATTATCCTACACCTGACTTGGAGTTAGCTATAGTTATTTTTATATTGAAGATTTATAGGCATTACCTTTATGGGGATCATTGTGAAATTTTCACAGACCATAAGAGCTTGAGATATATTATTACTCAGAAGGAGTTGAATTTACGATAGAGGAGATGACTTGAGTTAATGAAGGACTACAATTTGGAGATTCAATATCATTTGGGCAAAACTAATGTGGTGGACGATGCTCTAAGTAGAAAATCTTCATCTTTTGTAGCATATGTGTTTACTTAGGAGCAACAGTTAGTATATGAAATAGAGCAACTTTTTCTTGAGATAGTACCATCAGGAGGAAACTCGATTATTTATCACATTTGTATTCAGTTAATGATTATTGATCACATTCATAAACCTTAGATGGAAGACCTATATTTTGTATATATAAGAGAGCATGTTTAGGATGGATTGAAACTAGATTTCACTATTAATAAAATGGATGCCTTAAAATTTAAAGATTGTCTATGTGTTATAGATCACATCAAACTTCAATATGAGATATTTCAGGAGGCATACAATACTTTCAATTCATTTCACCAAAGGAGCTAAAAAATGTTCTGATATCTCAATAAACTATTTTGGTGGCTTGGAATTAAAAATGATGTGATAGAGTTTGTAGCCAAGTGATTGATGTATGAGATGGTTAAGGCAGAACATTAAAGGCCTGGTGGTTTATTGCAACCTCTTCCTATTCCAAAATGAAAGTAAAAGGAGATTGATATGGACTTTGTTGTTGCCTTGCCAAGATTAAAATAAGGTCATGATGTAGTTTGGGACATAGTTGATAAACTTATCAAGGTATCTCACTTTATACTAATCAAGTAGAATGACTCAGTAAAAAGCTAGCAAGGATCTACGTAGATAATATCATTTGATTGCATGAGATTCCCCTTATAATTAGGTCAAACACAGATGGTATGATTATTTCATGGTTATGGAAGAAAGTGTATGAATCTTTGGGCATAAGATTAGACTTCCACACTATATTTCACCCACTGATGAATAGTTAGAGTGCACCATTCAATTATTAGAGGATTTGTTGAGTTCTTATATCATTAACTTTGGAGGAAGTTGGAAAGACTATATTCCACTTGTGGAGTTTTCCTACAATCATAAATTTTAAGTTATCATCGGCATAACACTATATAAAGCTCTTTATTGTAGGAAAAACATATCTCCTCTATGTTGATTTGAGGCAGGTGTGAGATGAAACTCTTAGGAACTCAACTAGTTGATCAAGCTACTAAGAAGATTTATCAGATTCGAGAAAGACTTCAATAACGACGGGCTCGTAAGTTTTTTGGAAAAGTGAAAAAGAAAAGAAAAGAAAAGGCAAAACATGTGGCCACGGGCAGACGAAGAAGGGTCACGGAAGAAGAATAACGTCCAGGTGGCTTGCGTCGCGAAAGAAGAAGAAAGATCGCTGTAACACAACTCTCCTTGGCCTATTGGTTGAGAGCTTAGGCTTCCAACTAAGAGGTCCAAGGTTCGAGTCTATGTGTATGCGTTGTGTGTGTGAGTTTGCCTTAATTGGCCTAAATGTCCCAAAAAAGAAAGATCGCTGTACATTTTAATGCTTTTACATATTTTTTATTAATGCTTTTTTTGGAAACCGTGCATGTCCTATAAGAAGAAGAATGAAGGCATGAATGAAGCTCATAGGCCATGAAGGTGAACCAAAATGCCTTTACAGCTTTATGTTAATATTTTTTGAAAAATATGTCAATTTTTTCAAATAAAAACTACACTACTGCAGTTTTGAAAAGATCAAATATATATATATATATATACTGAGCCTAGTACCATTCTTTGGCTGGTGTTTTTTATAGTTCATCTGATCATGCTTTCATTGTTGCTTTGTTTACCTTTAGAACTATAATTTAAATTTTATGACTATTTTGTAGCTCTTTTCATTTACTTGCACATGTTATAATAATTTCACTTAATAGAATTATAATATGCCTTCATCATTTCTACTACTATTACTGTTAATAATAATAATAATAATCTCATTTTTATTGCTCTCACTTCCTCAATCATCTCACCTATAGTTAGGGGTGTAAACGAATCGAGTCAAGTTTAGGCCTTATCGAGTTCGGCTCATTAGTTGTTCGAGCTAGTCCCACTATTAACGATCTCGACCCGGCTCACGAGCCAAGGGAAGAAATAGGAATGCAAACGTAGACGAGTTCCACTGTAAAATTCGAGCTTGTTGTCTTTTACAACTGTAACAGAAGGAAGAGAGAGAGATTGCCATTTATTATTATGTGGCTGTCAGAGAAGAGAAGAGAGAGAGAGAGAGAGCCAGGCGGGAATTTAAAATACCGGGGTAAAATTTAAAATGCAAAAAAAAAAATTAAAAATACTTAAATTTAATAATTTCGAGCCGGCTCGCAAGCTGAGCCTCGAAAAGCTCGAACTCGAGCCCATTTAATAAACGAGCTCGAACTCGTGGCTTTATAAGCTCGGCTCGTGAGCTCGTTAACAAGTTGAGCTCGAGCCCTCCCGCGAGCCGACTCGGCTCACTTACACCCCTACCTGCAACATTTAATAGGACAAGAAATCAATAAAACTACAAGAAAGGAAACACAACATACGAGAGTGAAATCAAAAATGAAAATGAGGCGACACAATGGGACTACAAGTAGCAACAAGAGCACAAATAACAAAAAGAATACAAAAGAAAACTGCTTGATCCAAAATTATAACAGGAACAATGGTCAAGCCATTATTAAAGCTCCAGCAGAGTAGCAAAGCCATGCAACTACCATAACGAAATTACAACTACCTGACACCGAATAAGAAATTGATACTAAAATCTCCTTCTAGGCGTTCCAAGACAAAAAAGGATAACACTAATATGATCCTTCCATGATAGACCTGTTCCAAACTTAATAAAGCATAGACAAAAACGAAGGAATCACCAGAAGAGTGGCTTTCCATTCTTTGATGTGCCCAACCATCAATAAAGAGCAAAGAATATGATGCTGACAACCAATGAGCACTTTAAGCAGCAGAAAAACAAGCTAACCTGAGTCAACCTGCAACTATTTGAGTGTTTAGCAGCTTAGATGTAGCTTATCGATCTCTTCATGTGGATAAATAAAGATCTTCCTAACCATAGCGCAGAATTCCCTGCTTTATATGAAGAGATAAGTTAGAAGACCAAAAGAGTTCTTTGATGGCAGGTTATATGTATATTTTAGAATGTAGCTTGTATATATATAGAGAAATTATTAGGTTCGGACACCGGACATAGATAATCATTCGGATTTCTCTGTCAGCAGTTAAAACACAGTCAAAGCACAGCTGCTATAGTAACTGCGCATTGATTGTGCTTTGACTTCACTTTTACTGTAGACAGAGAGAAATCCGGATGATTCTCTCTATCCGATGTCCACACCTAATAATTTGACTGTATATATAATATCGGTTTGTTCAAAATTGATATTATAAAATGAAAGAACGCTAATGGCACTTAACTGCCATGGGTAGTCTCCAATCAGCATGGTATCACCCTCATCATCAGTGTATATAACCTGCCAACTAGAACAGCAGTCAACCAATCTTCCTTGAAAGGCAAACATTCGATCGAGCTCATAAATAAGTTCATCATAACCACTAAATCTTGAGAGATCAACTGATCTCCCCAGCGCAGATCCATGTTTACGAACCTGAGGCAAGATAAATTAGCTTACAGAAAAATTGCACAACACAAGAATAATTATGGAGAAAAAATATTTGGTTATAGTGAATTAATGATGATACACGACTTTTATGAGATTGTGTTCTTATTTTGCTAATCTTAATGAAAAGGGAATGGCTTTGACGCCGAAGCATCTATTTTATGAAAACTTAAATTTCTGTGTTGCTCTGTTAGTGTGCCGGCAGTGTAGCCTGGCTTTAGTTGTTGCCTTTTTGTTTTTGTATAAATAGTCCCTCCTAAAGGGAATGTGGCAGATTTTAGATATTCCATTACAGAATAAAGAATTCTCTTTCTTGGCATTTCCTCTGTGTTTCTTTCTGTTTCCTGAGGTTTGGTGCAGGCGGTGGAGAACCAGAGCATTTGCGATCAGTAAATGCGTAGACGAGCAGGAGTGTGAAGGTGCAGCTGAATCAGACGCCTTCGCTAGATGTCCCTTTTCCAGGTACGAGCTCTCGGTGGCGAATTCCGGCCTCAGGCTTTCTCCCAACATATTAATTAAACTTACAATTACAATATGGAGAAAAGGTGTAGATACCTTGGTGCAGCTTCTGATAGGGATTGTGTGGGTAGCGTAGGATTGATCATTTGATGTCCCAGAACCACTGAATTCTGATGGCTTAGAAGAGTTAGACTGTTCTGAAAACTGATCGGAATCGAGGATATAAGATGGAGAAAGAGCTGCATGATATGATGCCATTGATTGTTTTATAAGTTCATTATGAGTGGCCACGTGAGGTAACACACCATGAGATGAATTCTGTATGAGCGGAACACCAAAGATCTTAGGAACCTTGCAGTAGTTTTCGTTTGCATGTTCTAGCGACCGATATCGGTCTAAGTAAGGATTCCCAGAAGTTCCACACCCAGATGAAGGTGAATGAGATGAGCAATTATTAACAAGAATCTCCTTCCTTATTTCGGGAGATGTAATAGGCAGATGCTTCTGCTGAGATGCTAAAGATGAATGTAAATTGCCGGGTACATCGGAGAAGGAACCTAGTCCTCTTGCCATTCCATCTTGACATTGGAAGAGTCCCTGAAACTTAGGTGCAGGCTCATTGCAAATCTTAGAAAAACCTGGAAATGTATTGAAAAGAAGAGCAAAAGTAAACGACAGATGAATTTAAAAGATACCGCTTAAAAGCAGAAAGCGATGCAAAACGAGTACATCAAAACTAGAATGTTCCAACAATTGAAGTTATTAGTTTAATGAACTATTCAGTGAAACTATAAAACGAAATCCATCTTGCAAACAAGCCAAACTGTAAGAAATCGAATTTTTTCTTTAAGCTTTAGAGGTTTTCTCAGCTCAATATATCTGTAGTTAGTATATACTTCAATAAGCATTTTCACAATCAAGTTAGCTGAGAAATTTTTTTTTTTTCCCAAGGTACATTGAAAGAAGAGGTTGTTTGACCGTAAATTACCATTTTTGTTGGGATCATAAGACTTAGGAGATAGTGAAGATCTACAAGGGCGATTCCTTTTGGTACCAGCCATTTCTGAAGGTTCCACTGCAGCATCAAATGGCGTGACGTCCCATGGGCACACTCTTTCTGGTCGTGGAATGCCAGATGGCTGATCCCATCGAACCTAAATGATAGTACAAATGCGTAAACAAATGCTCTATGATATATGAAAGATAGGTCTGATTGCTGAATTCTTTGTCCTACTATTTCTAACAAGAATTGAAAAAAATGAAAAAGCAAAACGAAATGGCATAAGTCCACTGTGAACCAAAAAGTCATGAGATTCTAAACTTATAGGATATAACGATAATGTTATGTTTTTGGAACATATGGACTTGAATTTACGTACCTTAAAGCACTTCCACTTTGAATCTGGCCATTTTATTGGTTCAGCATCTTCAATAGCTATGATTGTGCCTGTATGCCTAAATTCCCAGGAGAACACTAAGAATGGAGTCCACTATTGATATAAGCCGAAGCAAGCCAGTAAATGATAAATAAACCATTAGTATGATGCTAAAGAGACTAAAGCTAAACATGATATGTACCTTTCTTCTTCACCATCTTCTCCTTCAAAAGTCATTCGAAACCTCATTCCAATACAATAACTGTGATTTGCTGAGTCCATGTATCGATGATATGGAACTATAAAATCAGAACTGCTTGTCCTGAAACAAAATGAGATTTAAGGAAGAAAATCAAATGACATGACATAACAGTTACCGCAATATCTATGCAATATGCAGATTCAATGTGACATACTAAAGAGACATTTAAATAAATAAATAAGAAATTAGATACAAAGCATGTAATTAACACCTCCAAAGATATGCAAATTATAATTAGGCCATCGAGGGACAGTAAACTCAGGCATCCAAAGTTAGGCTTCGCTGTTTACCTTGGCCGGTAATAAACACTAAACATGGTCCGGGTATTAATTGCGTGCATAGCAGATGCAAGTATGCCAATCTGCATGCTTTCAGTTGTTATCACAGATGTAGATGCAACTGTAGGCAACTTCCTTGCTCGGCGAACTCCAACGACGAGCTTCCCATCTTGCCCTCTGTGAGAAAGAGACAAAATTAATACATGGAATTGGATAACTTTTTTTATGCCACAAAATATCTACTTTACTGCTGCTGATTTGAAAGTGGAGAGGTTGTAAAAAACACTCTCTACTCCCAAACATGCAATATGGTTGAAAGGATTGGAGCACCAGATGTTTCAATAATCTAGAAAGCTTTTCCTTGATTACTAATTCTTGGGTTACCAGGAGAAATAATGAAGGTTAAATAAGAGGGAAAATTGATAGAAATAACTAAATGCTGACCTGAGAAAAATGAAAGCATCCCCAGTAGACAGCTTTTTAGCATTGAGAAATATGCTCCAACCAGTTGTAAGCAAATGTCTCTTTGGATGTCCTAAAAATTATAAGCAAAGAAGATACTTATACAGCTTTACGGGTCAAGTTGGTTGAAATTCAAGCAAAGCTAAAAGGAGTGCAAATTCAAAATTCAACATTAAATAATGCAACAGGTGTGACTTTCCAACCGAGAAAATTAGGCGTTCATAGGCCAGAGTTATATTTCTAACACTATTGTTTTAAGAAAATAAAGTACACCTGGTTAGAAGAATTCCAAAAACAATGTAAAATTGCTTGATCCTTTTGATTGCTAAGAAACTCAAGTAGAACTTGTAGCAACTATTTTTGCATTATGCTACAATAACTCAAAAATTTTTATCTAGTGTACAACCATAATCGCCTTGGTCAACTTAATAAAGTCATCAAATGATATGAACCAAATTCAACAATTCATTGATTTTAAACCAACTCAGTATACGCCAAGGTTAAAATCCAAGGAAACTAAGAAAGCATCATTCAAAGTTAGTAATGGTCATAACCCAAGAAAACTAATAGATATAACAAATATTATATATTATTCATTATCTGATGCTAGATTCATCTTTGCAAAAAAATTTCAGAGAATTATTAAGCCTCATGATTTGTAAAATATTTATATTATAAGACAAAGTGCAATTTTGCATGTTCCACACACCCCATCTTAGATATTGATGGCCTCATTTCAACTAAACACTCCCCACCAACAAGCACATCACTCGGATTAAATTAAAAAACCATACTCCTTATAAGGACACTTGGAAGACCAAAGAAGATGTGGATAAGCTTTCCCAGATCTTGTTGATGAGTACATAGATTTTAACTCTTTAGAGTTGGGCTCTTTAAGATATGATAAGAGTTAATACAACATCAAGATAAAGGCGAAAGACAATATCACAAATCAAAATATTGCATCAAAATTTAAGCTATTCCTCATGCACAACTCTCCATTCAAACTCATGAGTAACATATAATTTTTTAAATTATTAAAGAATAATTAAGAAGCTTAATTTAAGGTCTTTCGATGGGTAAATAAGGTATATCTATCAAGTAAAAGATCTTCATAAATTATTTGATTTCAAGACCACTCTACTTGCCTTATTTGGTCAATTTAAATTTTTTTTGGATGATTTAAATTTTATTTTATTTCTTTCATGCTATATTTCGAAAAGCTATCAATTTATATAAGTGTTTTATTGCCTCCTAAGACTTTTATAAGTTATTTAGGTTTAAAAAAGCCTGATAAATAAAACATCTTTTGTACTTTCGAATTCATTAAATAAAAATTATTTTTTGCTTATGCAAATTTCATATGGAAAAATTTAATGGACACTCTACCCCTTGGTAAAACTTGGTGGTTTATCCCATAGAGCTTTGGTGAGTCATTAAGTATCTTTTATCACATCATTTAGTCCTCATTATCCTGAACCTTTGCACCTCATGTCTATAACGTAAAAATTCTTAGAGCTTAGACGATGAATGCATTTGCTTCAGAGTCGGTGACTTCTCCCAAGGATTTTCCACTTGGAAACATTAAAGTCTATGATGCACGGATACGACGACATGTACACAACATAACACAAATACGGGACATTGTTTTTTTTTTTTTTAAATATAGGACACGAGTGCGACGTGAACACAACATAATAATTTTTTTAATATTGTGTATAGAAATTAAGGTAACATCATATTAGAAATGGAAAACAATAATAAATCAATATCATGATAACTTGTTTAACTTATAATATAAAATGTTTAGTACAAAATGTCAAGTACAACCATAAAAATATAAACAAAAAATTATTTAGTATAACATCAAGCTTCAACTACTCAGTAGAGGGAATGATAGGATTAGCTTTAGAGGTTTATCTTTGGCCTTCAATATCATCATCATTGAATATCATTGCTTCCAACATTGGTTCATCAAGAGAAAGATTTGCGATCTCCAATATTCGCATATCATCAAGGGACTCGAACCCATCTCCAACATTATCCCACATCTTGTTATTACCTTCTACATGAAGTGAGATCTTCCTTGAAAGAAGACAAAGATTTGTATGCACATAAACTTAATCCAACAATATCCCACATTTAGCCCATTATGGAATAATTTTATTCATTTTCATCGATTAAATAAATGAGTATATGCTCTAATTTCTCTTCACAACAAAAGGAGGCTGAAACTTGACTAAAAATTTTATTATTATTGTTTAAAGAAGTGGTGTTGAAGCTCCATGAATCAACCACCACATCTTTGGATCCATCCTACATCTATTAACCAAATATTCTTGATCACCAAAATCGTCTAAATATCCAAAGAACTTTACATGTTCGATATTAATCTTTTTTCTCTTCTCTTCATTTGGGAAATATCGTTTGAAATATATCTTTCTCATATTTGAAACTTCTAAATCTTTTTGTGGTGAGACACGTTGAAAGTATTCTTGAAGCCATTCTTTACTTGAATACCTTCAAAGAATACAAAAAATGCAAAATTATTTATTCATTAGCCAATAAATTAAAAACTAATGTATAAGGTATATTCAAATTTACCTTAGATTTAATGAATGAGCCAAACAATGAAGAGGAGTGTTACTTTTGCTCCACCTATCCTCAAGAATAGATTATACAACATTCCAAAAACTTGAGCCTTCATCATGTGCTTTTCTTTCATGTCTGTATGTAATTTCTTTCACTTTTACTGATATAGGTTCCAACATCTGATAAATCAAATGTACGCATGATTTATCTATTTCAACCTCTCTCAACAAATCATAAATTACATCAGTAAAAGCCAAAATATAATATATATCATCCACCACAAATCATCTAAAACCCTTTCTTTTATGTATCTTGTCTTTCAATATCATCTTCTCAATAGCAAAAGAAGATGTGGATAAGCTTTCCCAGATCTTGTTGATGAGTACATAGATTTTAACTCTTTAGAGTTGGGCTCTTTAAGATATGATAAGAGTTAATACAACATCAAGATAAAGGCGAAAGACAATATTACAAATCAAAATTTTGATGCAATATATATATAAGAAACAAAAAATGTATAAGATGTAAAGTGTTAAGTGATAAATTATGTGAAATAAATTTGAAATCCAAATATTACATGAACAAAATAATATAAAATATATGAATAATATTAAAGTATCATATAATATCAAGTTCAGTTCTAAATTTTTTCTTTCTCACATGCCTACTCATCTAAGTTTAATTCCTAAAGAAAGTTGAAATAATTGGCTACAACTCAAATCATCTGTACTAATATTACTAAGGAGATTTTTATTTGAGTTACCGTCATAACAAATTGGTCTCTTCTCTATCTCATCCTGTAAGGACCAATATCTCTCAATTTGTTTCTTTATTTATTTTAGTTATCTTCATCTTTCATAAATGTTTGTCATCAACATAAAGATTATTGAGAGAGTTGCTACTTAGCTTTGCATGTTTTACATTCTTGCAACTTATATGTTTTGATAATTCTAAATATTATTATTTTGATTATTATCTTCTCCTAACACATATTGGAAGAATTATTTTTGGTCATGTGTGTACTAATATTTCAGGAAAATCATACTCCAGATTATTGAAGACTTCAAATCAAGTTCAACTTAGAATATTTCGTAAATTGAAGTCTGTATTTTTCATTTTATTGAGTATGAGAGTGTGTGATTGTAATTGAGTAACTTAGCACATGCACACACCTGGGGAGAGCTTTAAAATTCATAATTTTTAAAACTGATCGTACAGTACGAACTATGTTCATTCGGGACGATCTGGTCAGTTAAAACTCTCGAATGAGCGAAAGAATGAACAAAGAGGGCCAAAATTCTTTTCCAAGTACTATGCATCCAGATGATATTTTTCGTTCGTTCCAAGACAATGGGCTCTGGACGCGTTCGATTTAACGATATTTATCGTGCGTCCCAGGATGGCGCTCTCTGGATGGGTTCGTCCAGACGATAATTATAGTTCGTCCCAGGACGATGGGCTCTGGATTGGCCAAAATGAACTATTCATCCAGATGATATCTATTGTTCGCCCCAGGACGAGCTTCTCTATTCTGGAGACTTGAAATTCATCCTGCATTTTCGTACCAACAAACCTTGGGAATAACTGTTCGTACCGAACAAACTTAGTTCATACGAGATGATTATCAGGTACGAAGGTAGTTCGTACTGATTCATATATTGTTTGTACGCAACAGTTTTTACACTGTTCGTACGTATGAATTTGGAACATACGGGATGATTGTGGATGGACAGAAATTGAAAATTATAATTTTTGGACGATTTTTCGTGTCTTTTCTATAAAAGGTCCAATTTTGACTGTCTTAAAATCTTTTTGTCTTTTGATCTACGTGTATACTAAAGGGAGATTGAATGAGAGAGTGGGAGAGAGTGTTTGAAGGAGAGTTCTTACTACTCGAGCGTGAAGGTTTTACTTGGTTACTCAAAGGTAAGAATCTCCGTTTGTGAATTGTGAGTACTTCACTCTTTTCTCTTGTCCTTCTAGATTTCTCGTGAGAAAATTTTTCAAGAAGATTCGGTTCTTTGCCGACACTCAAGGAGTGTGAACAGCCGAAGAGTTCTCTGCCTACACTTGGAGAGTGTGAAAGGATGAATGTTCTCTACCTACATTTATAGAGTGTGAAATGACGAAGGTTCTCTGCCTACACTTGGAGAGTGTGAACAGCCGACGGTTCTCTGCCGAATTGATTATAAGTGAACCTAGTGAGGATTTTAGGACTAGGCGTGGACTGAACAAAGAAGTCAATCATTCAGCCTTTATTTCAATGATAGAATCCATAAATATTGATCAAGCACTTTCAGATGAATTTTGGATATTAGCTATGCAAGAAGAATTAAATCAATTTGTAAGAGATAAAGTTTGGGAATTAACTGCAAGGCCAAATGATCAAAGTGTGGTTGGAACTAAGTGGGTATTTAAGAATAAAATGAATGACTCAGGAGTAGTCATAAGAAATAAGGCTAGATTAATGGCTAAGGGATA